TTGACTGGAATCAAACCCTGGACTCTTCAGTCCACAGGCCAACGCTCTATCCCCTGAGCTAAACCAGTTAGGGCCTTATTCTAGGTTTTTATGCCCCGCCCTCCTTTCCAGTCCCTTTAAACTAGATGGGTTGACTATCAACACAGGGAGTTATGTGACCTTCATAGTGATCCATTTCTCCTCCTGCTGGCCCTAAACAAACTGAAATGACATTGTCCTCATGTGTCTATGCTCAGACAAAGAGATTGCTCACCTGAAGAGACCGAGGAAGCTCAGGGCCACCTGCCAGTACAGTGAAGTCTCTCACCCCTTTCTCCAGGTTTTGTAGATTCCTGAATTCTCTCTAGCTGGGCAACTTGATCAATCACTGAAGTTTGAAAAGAATTAGGTGAAGATCCACTCCCCTCCATCTCTGGCAGAACAGTTTAAATCTTGTCTTGAATTAAGGGTTCTCTTAACTCCTAATTACTGCATTTGAAATTGATATTGTTTCTTCAAGACTTACTCAAAACAAGGTTTTTATTTCTCAAAAATGTCATCTCACGAATTAGCATCTTAAAAATCACTTTATCCTGTTGTTTGATGACCCTTCCAAGTTTTCTGCCACACACTTCTCAGTGACTGTAGCACAGATCCTTCCAATCGGTAATCTTACATGAGGAGCAGATGGGTTGATACATCCATTCTGCTGTGGTTGCTATACTTGGCTTCATCTTACCAACAAGTTGGTTAATGTCAGAAGCAAGGTGTAGGTGTCTTATGATTCTGTTCGTGTGTCCGGCTCTGTGTTTGATGACATACACATAATTTTACCATGGCGAGCTGGAGCTGGCTCTCATCCCTAGCTAATTGTGCACATTCCTCCTCAGCTCCACATTCACTGCCATCATGTTGGTAGCTTGAAATCAGTTATGATGGGAATACTTACACCAGGAAAATTAACAAATGAATCAGGGCTTTTTGTTGGAGGGTAGGGAGTGGAGAGAGGGCTTTGAAAATATCTGGAGCCTGGCTGGTGTTGCTCAGTGGTTAAGCGTCGACCTAGGTACCAATAGGTCACTGGTTTAATTCCAGGTCAGGACACACGCCCAGGTTGTGGACTCAATCCCCAGTGGGGGGTCTGCAGGAGGCAGCCGATGATGTTTCTCTCTCAGCAATGTTTCTCTATATATAGCCTTCTCCTTTTCTCTCTCTAAAACCAATAAAGGGGGGAAAAAAGTATATTAAAAATAAATAAATAAATAAAATATCTGGAGGAAACAAGAAACCAAAAACAGTTACCTTTGCAGAATGAAACTAGAAAGCAAGGGTATTGAAAATATTTTTGTTTTTGAATTTTTTATCATGTTCATCACTAGTTTTTAAAATACTTTTTATTGATTTTTTGAGAGAGAAAGGAGAGGGGGAGAGAGAAACATCGATTGGCTGCCTTCTACACGCTCCCTACAAGGGATAAAGCCCACAGCCCTGGCATGTCCTTGACCTAGAATGGAACTGGCAGCCTTTTGGTGTTTGGGAAAACACCCAGCCAGCTGAACCACACTAGCCTGGGTCATAACTATTTTTTTTAAAAGAGAACTTCCTTTCTTAAGAACAAAGACTTCCCGGAGTGTTTATTAATCCCACACCATAGTCTGGAAACTGCCTGGTTGAGGAAGAAATCAGCCTGGAGAGGAGTTATAGCAGTTGCCCTGGTGGAGTGACATCCTGGGACAGGAGCTGGGGACTGGGCAGAGGCAGGGCCTGAGGAGTAGGGAGTGCAGCAGCAGGCGGTCCTTCTAGAACTTTGTGCCAGGTCTGAAAGAAGTGCCAAAGTAATGCCAGGCCTTCAGCCAAGACCTCAGGCCAAAATGTGGGTCACCAAACCCTAAGAATCAAACAGAAAAATGGGTATGAAGATAGGACACCAAAAATAGTGCATCTCTAGGGAGGATGCAGGGGCGGCAGAGACCTGATACAAGGGGCTAGGCTAGGGTCACAGGAGGATATTTTAGAATGGGGCTGGGGGCAGCTGTTTAGGCCATTCCTGAGACCATTCCCTGCAGCTTAAATTAAAAGGAGACTTGAGCTCTGCCTGAGAGGGGAGGAAGGCAAACGAGCAGTGAGGAAACAGCGGAGACGGAGACGGGCTCCTCAGCACTGGGGAAAGGCTCCCACAGCTCCCAGGGGGGAGTCCGCAGTCCACAGTAAACAAGTTCCAGGAGCAAAGCAGAACTCCAGGCGGATTCCAGAAACCTCGCCATGCGCAGAAAGGACCTACCTCTAGCGGCCCTCAGAGTCTGGGGATGGGACAGGGGTTCCCACTGGAGGATTTTGGAGTGGCTTAGGATTTTTTCTGAGCAGGGATAATGGAGGCCCTAGGTGCAGAGATGAGCCACAGCCAAGAAAATACATCTGAGATGCAGTGAGATGCAGGATCTGGAGGGGGCCCCAGAATAGGCTGGCAGGACCCTGCTTCTGGGGGACCTGGAGGCAGCATCTCACTCCTCCCTGCAGGCCGGATGCTCAGGAAAGAAACTCTCTGGGAAACAGCACAGGAGCACTGGCCAGGAAGGGGAGGGCAGGTGGAAGGGTAGAGTGGGCTGCGCTCCACAGTGTGGTGTGTGCTCCCCAGGACCCTCAGACGTTTCCACACTCCACCTGGCAGTTTGGGAAGCACCCTTCAGACTTGTCAAGCAGGGCTGCCACTGGTTATGAGGGCGTCAAACATCCCATTTTATAAACACCGAGGTGTCCCAGCAGATCCCGGGACAGGATCTGGGGTGTTTATCTAAGGCGTCCCTAGAGATAAACTTTAACCATACAGGTGTTGGGACATTCAAATAGTTGCTAATGAAGAGGCTGCTCTATGCAAGCAGGAACAAGGGCAGGCCTAGGACCAAAAAGACCAGGAATTTTAATTTCAGTTTTAAGTGTATGCAAAATAATTCAATTAACTACCCAAGGAATTACACCACATGAAACATATGCAATTGCAAATCACACAGCACTTTATTACTCACAAAGTTCCCGGTGCTACAGGTACAGGCTTAAACGGGGTCCTGGTGGTGCTGTCCTCTGGGGTCCTGCAGCTGGGCTGGACTGGTCCGGATGCAGGGGGCCAGCATTCCTCACCTGAGAGAGAGTTTGGTTGCGTCTTGATCTGGCAGTGCTAGCCGTTCTTCTGTCGTCTGGCAGGGAGAGGAGCATGGAACGGCGTTGCTTGCTGGACTGACAAAAGGACGTGCCTTTGGGGGTGTCTTGATAGGCGAGCACAGTTGGCTGGCCGGGACCTATTTTCAAAGCCTGTTTCGTACCCGCAGCAGCTCAGGTGGCTATCAGTGAACTACATCAATGCGCACATGTTAATCTCAAACAGGGCGAGGGGCTACATGTGGTTAACTAGGGGGAGTACATCACTCACACTGCAAGTCACTCTGAGTCAGTAACTAAAGTTCAAATCCTAATCTGTGGGGTATGCACACTTCAGGGCAGTGGGGAATGTGCCCTTAATAACACACTTTAAGTTTCAAGAAAGTTAACTCAAACCTTTTTAACATTTTTGAACATTTTATAAGTACCGCGCGCTAACTGATTGTGCCACTGGAGCCCCATCATTTTTGAACATTTTAAACATTTCTATATATTATATAACACTAGGGCTGCTTCCAAACAACCAGAACTAATAGGGCCCTGACTTGGCCCCCTTCTTTTAATTTGCTGCTAGAGTCCTTCATTTTTTTTTAAAGATAAATTAGATGCATAAATCTCCTGTCACTGGCACAGGCTGTTCCCTATCTCCTTTCATACTACTGCGACTGAATTATGATAAACCAGCAACATCCTGAAAATGCTGTTGAACCTATTGATCAATTATGGTTAGCACCTGCTCACCCCCCACCCTCAAACCCAGTGTCAATTACAGGTAAACTAAGTCAGTTTCTGCTGAACTTACATGTTCAATTGTGAGTTCCCATGACATCACTAAATCATAATATCCAACAAATTCAGCTACTTGGGACATATTTTACAGCAAACTCATTCCCAAAAGCCTGTCAGGAAGCCAGCCGCCCATCATGAGATAATCATTCACTTAACCAACATTGAGACTGTGGCTGCTGTGTGAGTGGTGCTGAGTGCCAAGGATGCAGACAGGGCCTGGCCCTAGGAGAAGATAGGCCTATGACTACGGTGCCACCCGCAGGCTGTAGGCCTCAAGGACAGCCCTGTGCTGTATGTGTGACAGTATCTCTTGCACCTAACGGGAGGCCTAAAACTTAGTGCTCAATAAAAATTTAAAAATGAATAATCCATAACCAAGATTTGGGCCATCAGGAGGAGGTGGTTAACTCTGCTAGGAAACTAAAGTAGGCTTTGCAGAAGAGGTGCAAGAGGCTGGTCCTTGAAATGTAGGAGTCGACAAAGCAGTCCAGGAGGAGGGCAGCAAACAGGAGGGCATGATGTGGCAAAGAGGTCAGGCAGGAAGGAAGGAAGGATGAAGAAGGATCTTGAACTGCAGGTTACAGATGCTGGGCTTTGTTCATAGATTCTGCTATCCAGATGACAAATTCTTCTTAGAACTGGAGCCAAGTTGCCTTTTTAGAACATTATTTTCCTTTTTTGTCAAATAGTAAAACCATGCTGTTTCCTTTCTCACCTTGTCTGCTGGGAAGCTCCTGAAGTACTGGGCTCCTTGTAATTTTTTGTATTCCTTAACAGTCCTATGCAGGCCTTTTCGCCTACTAGATCTTATATTAGTTCTGTGTTGCTATAAAACAATATAACAACAAAAGTTGCCACTTAGCCCTAGCCAGTTTGGCCCAGTGGATAGAGTGTTGGCCTGCAGACTGAAGAGTCCCTGGTTCAGTTTTGGTCAAGGACACATGCCTGGGTTGTGGGCTCAGTCCCCAATAGGGGGTGGGGGTGCTGGAGGCAGCTGATCAATGATTCTCTCTCATTGATGTTTCTATCTCTTCCTCTCCCTTCCGCTCTGAAATCAAATTAAAAAAAAAAATAGCCGCTTAAAACAGTACACATTTATTTTACCATAGTTTCTCACAGAAGTCTAGACATCTTGGACTGGGACTTCTGCAGGGCTGCCATAAAGGTGTTGGCTAGGGCTGAGGTCTCATCTGAGGCTTGACTGGGATGGAATCTGCTTGCAAGCTCATGAGATGGTTGGCAGAATTCAGTTTCTTGGGGGCATCAGGGAGAGGCCTCAATTTCTTGCTCCCTCTGTAGGCAGCTTGCTTCTGTAAAGAAGGTGGTTCCAATTTTATGTAACATAATCACATCCATCCCACCACTTTTGCCCTATAATAAGTCTCACCCACACAGATCCTACCCACACTCAGCGGTGAGGGTTACACAGGGCATGAAGACCGGAAAGAAGGATCATGGACCATCTCAGAGTCTGTTGCCACAAGTATCTGTCAGACATTAACCGGTAAGTGAACTACTCCTTTTGGCAACTGAAAGTACCACTTCCACAGACATACATATCATCTCCTGAGGAAGAAAGTGAACTGTTTCCCTGCTAAGAATGCCCACCACCCCCGCCCCCATCTACTACAGTGCTGGGCATAGTTGATCAGGTGATAAATATGGAACGAAGAAAAGTTTTAGGATTCTTATCACTGCTGGAAGGACCTGGAGTTTTCTACCATCAGAGTGATTATCTGACTGTCATAAATTTCTTTTTTTAAAAAAATATATTTTATTGATTTTGTACAGAGAGGAAAGGAGAGAGATAGAGAGTTAGAAATATCGATGAGAGAGAGTCATCGATCAGCTGCCTCTTGCACACCCCCTACTGGGGATGTGCCCGCAACCAAGGTACATGGCCTTGACCGGAATCCAACCCAGGACCCTTCAGTCCCCAAGCCGACGCTCTATCCATTGAGCCAAACCGGTCTCGGCCTGATTGTCATAAATTTCTTGATTGACATATGCAATTAAAACACCCATAAAACAATTATAATAGCACAAAGTGAGAACAAGTTCAGACATCACCATTATGAATGGGCTCTTTCCTAGAAAAATGTCTCCTAGCCCCTAGCAGCTACTGTTTCCCCCACTTTACAGATGAGCTATGTACATGAATACCATTTCCCAATTGTGCTAGTGCACTAGCACAGGGTAAGTGCATGGGCTACAGAGCCGGGTGGCCTGGGCTGACATCAAGCTTCGCATACTATGTGACTTTGGACAAATTACCTAACTTCCCATAATGATAGCCAATGTTTACTACACACTATCTGTAGGCTCTTAATGTATATTAAATTCAAATAAATTAATTTAACTCAAATAACCACCATGGGAGGTAGGCACCATTAGTATCCCCATTTTACAGGTGAGAAAACTGAGGGATAATAGTTAAGGCCCAGTTTAATATTCTTAGCCTGAGCAAGAACAGGGAGAATGAAGGGTAAGTGGTGGACAAGACAATCTTGGACAAAGGTACAGCAAGCAGGATGCTAGTGCCAGCAGATTCCAACTATTGTCCCCACTGCTGTCCCTGGCCAGGGAGGACAAGTCAAAACTATGGTTTACCATTTGGACCTCGTGTACTAAGATCTTAAACATGACTTGCACCCCTGTGCAGGGTACGAGGACAAAAAGCCAGAATGCCATCATCTGGGAAACTGAATTGCATTTTGCTTAAAGCTAGCCCCACCTCAGTGAAAGTCCCTCTATTCCGGGGGCTGGTGCCCAGCCACAGGCTGTTTCAGCTTCTGCAACTTCCCACCAACTTCACAAGGGCAAAGGGCCTGAGTTAGCCTGTGAGCAAGAAGCCCAGCTGGGTGGAACCAAGGCTTCCTCATGCTCCCATGGCTTGAGAGGGAGGGGGCCTTAGCACAGGGAGGAAGCAGATAGAGCTGACAGAGATGCAAACGGAGGAGGAGCCCTTTCAGAGAAGTCAAGCTCCCCATTCCTGCTTAGGAAAGGAGAATGCACCCGGGAGGGGGGAAGGTGCAGGCAGGGAGACAGCGCTGAGCCTCCCTGGATCTGGGTGTCCCTTACTCTGCATTTTCCTCCCACACGCACCTTCTATCTCCTCTGTCTGAGGATATTCCAAACCCCACAGAACCAGACACCCTCTTAACCCAGCGCCCCTTCCTCTGCACATTTGTCCCCTCACCCCTGGACCTCAGCTGAAGGCCACCCTGCCCGCCTGGCTTCTCTGGGAGGGCTTAGCAAGCAAACTCAAGCAAACAGCGTTTCCTACACTTTTCCGCCAACATGGCTGGGTAATAGGTGGGAGGCTTCGCTGGTGGCTGAGACACCCACAGACTGAACGCACCTCTGCACCCACTGGATCAGCTTGCCGCGGTCAGTCCCCACTCCTGCCCTCACGCCCTGGCACATTCCAGCGCCCTTGCATCTATCTCTCCATCTCCCCTTTCTGCCTGCCACCTCCTTTTCTTCCTGATGCTGGGAGGGGTTCTCGGTGCGCTGGGGCTTACTGCCCTGAGTGAGCCCGTTTCCTGTGGGGGCGGCGCAGTGACCCCGGGAGCGGCCAGTGCGCTGTGGGGCGGGATGATCTCCCCGCTGTGCCGGGCCGTGTGCGCGCTCCTAGGTTCCCCTCCTTGGGGGCCACCGAACCTCCTACCGCCAGGACTGCACCCCCAATCCCTTGGGGAAAACATGAGGCCTTTCCACAACCTGGAGGCAGAGGCGGCCCGGCTCCGCACCCGCCTCACCCCCGTCCCCCAACTTGCAGCCCGGGAGGGGCTCGGGGCTCGGGGCTCGGGGCTCCGGGCGCCAAGAGCGCCTCACGAAGCGCGGGGGCGAGCGGGCCAGGATCCGGTCAACTTCGCGCGCACACGTGGGCTCAGAGGCCCGGAGGGACGGAGCGAGCGGCGGGTCTGGAGGGGGCACAGCTCCCCGCGGGTGATCTCGGGGTCCCTGCCCGAGCCCGGGCGCAGGAGGCCGGGGTCTGAGTCGGGAAGGGAGGGAGGCGGCGCCGCCATGCTCCAGTTGAGCCTGGAAAAACCCCAGCGCGCGGGGGAGAGGGAACAAAGGCGGCCGCGGCCGGATGCAGTCATGGAAAAACCCAGCGGGGCGCCGGGCGGGGGCGGCCGGGGACTGGGGCGGGCGCCCGGCAGCCGGGCCGCGCTCACCAACCGCCCGGGCGGGGCGGCTCTCGGGCCTGCCCCGAAGTGCTTCTGGGGCGGGGCGAGAGGCTCGGGAAGCAGAATATGTCTGCGGGGAGGGCTGGGCTGGGAACCCAGAGCCAGAGCCCCCATGCTCCTCATGCTGAGGCCAGCCTGCCCGCCGTGCACCCCTGTCCTCCGGCCCATGGGGGCGGGGGGTGGCCACACACAGGACAGTCGGGACACACGCGGCGTGAACACCGCCCCTTGGCCGCTGCGGCAGCCGGTGGTCGCCGGCCAGTAGGGGGCGCGCACAGGCCCAGCAACGGCGCGGAGGTGTGTGCCGGGCGCCCTGTCCCGCACACACGCGCTCACACGCCCGTGCCCGCAGCTCCCAGGCAGAGAGAAGGGAAGGGTCCGGCCAAATGGGGCCGAAATAGACACTCGCTAGGGCCTTCCTCGGAAGCCACGGCGGGACCCCATGTTACAGGTGTGGGGACTGGCCTAAGGCAAGGTGAGCAGACGTCCTGATTTTTAACAATTTGTCCCGATTTTTTGAAAGACTTTTTTAAGACGCCGCGGGACGCGGGACAAATAGTTAAAAATCGGGTCGTCTGGTCACTTATCCTAAGGCCCATGTGCCCGGGTCCCGCCCCGGCGCTGGAGTTACCGTCCCTTGCAAGACGCTGCCCGCCCTATCCTGGTCTCGGGAACCTGCCTGGAGATGGGAAAGCAGCGCGCGGTGTTTTATTCTGCAGAAGAAAAGGAAAGTTTGGGCGCAGTGGAGCCAGTGACTCCTGAGGCCTTTCCCGTTCTGACTTAGGAGGAAAGAACCGGACCCAGAGACCATAAGAGGAGTTGGGGGAGATGAGAAAAAGCCTCCGGTGCCTGGTTTGAACTCAGTCACAGGCTCTTCCTGGTTCATGTCCCTTTGTTTGTGTGTGCTGCCGCCGCCGCCGGCTGTTGGGTGTGAACCCGTGGGGCCCTCCAGGTGGAGAAGGGATGTAAAATAGAACAGACTCTGGGGGCCAGCCCCCAGGAGCAGAGTCTGGGGGCCAGACTCTGAGAGCCAGCCCCCGGGAGCAGAGAACCCAGGCTCTCTGAGTTGGGGTGGCAGGTAGGGGTTCCTGAAGGCCAGAGGGCAATGAAACAGGAACCCATGACTTCAAAAAGGTTCAGGTTCAAGAAGGCACCACCTTTATGGGGCCTGGCTGTTGGAGTTGTGAGAATACAGTTGTGGTTGAGGTTCTGGCCACCAGTAAGAATACAGAATCAACATAGTAGGGACACCAGTGAGACCACAGGGTCAAATGAGCTGACATCAGCTTGTGGTCCCTTGGGGAACTGAGGTTGTCATCACATGACCTAGCCCTGCCTCTCTTAGCTTCCTGTTTTGGGGGAACCTTTGGGCCTCAAGTTCCTCATCTGTAAAATGGACACAAGAGCTCCTCCTCCACAGGGGAATTTTGGGGAATGAAAATGGATGTAAGTCGCCCTTCTCTCCCGCCTTCTTTTCTCCAAGTCCTTGGTCACTAGGGCTCCTTCCAAGTCTGTTTCCTGTGAGCAGGAGGGGTCCAGTGGGATGAAGGCTGGGGAGCAGCGCCCCCTTGTGGTGGGTATCAGGAGGGCCAGGTCAGTTGGGAAGACAGGCATGGGCTAACCTGGTTAGAGCCTAACGGCATCTGACAAGTTGGAGCCTCCATTCAGGGAGACCTTCCCTTCTGACTCAGTTACCCCCTCCAACAAGGAGAGAGCATGCTGCTTCCCCACAGCAGCCTCTCCTCTCACAGCCCAGCTGCTCCAGCTTTAAAAGGTTTCTCTCAATCCGGCCCCCGGAGGAATCCACGCACTTGGCCTTTTGGCATTTATACTGTGCTTTATAGCTTACAAGCACGTTGACACATACTTGTCCCTGAGATGTACTGTTTCTGGGTGGTGATGGCGCTAGAAGGATAGAGATCGTGGTTCACAGCTTGGCTCCAGCACAGTTTGGATCCTGCTCCCTCCCTCTAGTTTGTAACCAGGACGACATTCAACACACTGAATAACCAGAGAACTGGCAGCGACCAATCGGTACAGACCCTGCCACAAACACCAGGAAGGAGGGGGAGGGAGGTAAATGCTTGTGTAGCTATGGAATATTCTGGAATAACCCCAACCTCACTGGGCCTCAGTTTCTCCATCTGCAATTTGGGCACGGTGACTGTAATAGTACCGCTTTTTAGGGCTGAGGTGAAGACTAAATTAGCTAATGCATGTAAAAGGTTGAGAAACCATAACAAACACCCAATACGTTAGCTTTATTACCTGTCCTGTGTCCTCTCAAACTCAGTGACTCCGGGTGATTGCTACTTTTAAGGGAGACTCCCCCAGTAAGTCCACGTGTGCACTTGTGCTCACCTCCTGGCTCACCTCCTGCCTGCCACTGCTGCTTGTCTGGCCCTCCATTTATTCTGCTCTCTAGAACTGCTCAAACTTTACCATTTGTCTGAATCTTTGGGGAATCTTGTTAAACTTCATTCCTATTGAGTTAGGTCTGAGCGAGGCCTGGGATTCTACACTTCCTACAAGCTCCCACGTGGTGCTGATGCTGGTCTGCTAAGCAAGAGTCCCAAAGAGTATTGCAGAAACAGAATTGTCAGATAATTGACATGTAAACATTTATTGAGGTCCGACTCAGTGCAAGGATCAAAACCGTCTGAAGGATGGCTTCCAACCTCAAACAGCAGGATTATTGCACAAACACAGGTTAAAACAAAATCAGGCCAATGGGCAAACATGTGCCAGACAGTAGGTGCTGGATCCATTCTCTGCCCAGTAGCCAGAGTGGTACTCTAAACAAGTGAAGATTTCACAGCTGCCCTGCTAACAGCTGTCCAATGGCTCCCATCTCACTCAGAATAAAAGGCGAAGTCTCCTGGATTCTTCAGGCCCTGAATCATCTTGTCTTGCTTCTGACCTCATCTCCCGTCACTCAGCTTCATTCTAGACTCAGCTTTTGTTCCCTTGAACCCAATACCCCACTTCTTCCTGAGATCCTTTGAATTTGCCTGGTTAATACCTGTCCTTCAAACTGGTAAGCACCTGGCCTCTTATTCAGCCTCAAATTGCTTCCCAGAAAAACCTTCATTGACCTAAAGGAAATACAGTCTAAAGTAGCTGCCCCATGCCGAAACCGTTTGGCTCAGTGGTAGGGCGTCGGTCTGCGGACTGAAAGGTCCCGGGTTCGATTCCGGTCAAGGGCATGTGCTTTGGTTGCGGGCACATCCCCAGTAGGGGGTGTGCAAGAGGCAGCTGGTCGATGTTTCTCTCTCATCGACGTTTCTGGCTCTCTATCTCTCTCCCTTCCTGTCTGTGAAATATCAATAAAATATATTTAAAAAATAAAAAATAAAAAAATAAAGTAGCTGCCCAGTCAAGGTCAGATACTCTCCATTGTATCAGTGTTTTTTAAAAAAAGAAATTCTAAGTTCAATGTTATGGCATTATATTGTTGGTTGCTTTTAAAAATATATATATATTTTATTGATTTTTTTACAGAGAGGAAGGGAGAGAGATAGAGAGATAGAAACGTTGATGAGAGAGAAACATCAACCAGCTGCTTCCTGCACACCCCCTACCGGGGATGTGCCCGCAACCAATGTACATGCCCTTGACCAGAATCGAACCTGGGACCTTTCAGTCCGCAGACGGACGCTCTACCAATGAGCCAAACCGGTTTCGGCTGTTGGTTACTTTTTAAAAAATATTTTTTTTTTATTGACTTCAGAGAGAAAAGGAGAGGGAGAGAGGGATAGAAACATCAATAATAAGACAGAATCATTGAAGAAAGAGAAGAAAAAAAGAATCATTGATTGGCTGCATCCTGCATGCCCCCTACTGGGGATCGAGCCTTCATCCCTCAATCTATCTCTCCCTCTCCTTGGCTGGGATGTGTTATCCACTGAGCCAAACAAGCTAGGGCTGTTGGTTGCTTTTAAAAAAAATACATGTTTTCACTGATTTTAGAGAGAGGAAGGGAGAGGGAGAGATAGAAACATTGAGTGGTTGCCTTCTGCATGCTCCCTACTGGGATGAAACCCAGGCATGTGCCCTGACCCAGAGACCTCTTGCCAGCCTGGGCTGGTGTATTTAAAAAAAAAAAAAATAGCCCTAGTTGCCTAAACTGGTTTGGCTCAATGGATAGAGCATCGGCCTGCGGACTGAAAGGCCCTGGGTTGATTCCGGTCAAGGGCAATGTACCTTGGTTGCGGGCACATGTCCCGACCCGCGGGACAACAACGGGGGGCACGCAGGAACCACCTAAGAGAAAGAATCAAACAAGGAACGCGAAAGAATGGAGGCAAGACAAGGTTCTGATCAAGCCTCAGTTTTATTCTCTGAAATGGCTGTATTTATACAGCAGAGACAAAGGGGGGCAGGGCCGCCTATGCAGGGGGGTCTTTGGTATGGCAACACAGGATTGACTAATTGCCAGAGGCGGTGTGACATTCCAAGGTGCAATATTCCAAGGCTGGGCTATCTAGTGGGGGAGGATCAGGAAGGGAAAGAGGCAGGAAGACAGGAGATGCTAAACCCCAGGTTAATCTTATCTTCTGGCCAGGCCCTCAGGGCACCACAGAACTTCTGCTAGAAGGAAC